GTTTGTTGACCTAGTGAGGCAGTGATCTAAATGGTCCAAGGGCAGAGGAGCAGTGTGCCCACATTTTGATCTTTGAATCTGCCGGATGGGTTAGAAGAGCACCACTGGTCTAAAGTCCATTCTCTGCCTTGTACTGGGAAATGAATTTGCTTTGTCATCCTCAACTCCTGCTTCCTGCCAGCAGTCCTGTTCACTACTTTCAGTTTCACTTTGGGCTTTAAAAATGCTTCTTAATCATCTTCTGGCTGAATTTTCCTGTGTAATACAGGTACAGATAAGCAGTTTTATTGGCTTGGCTGGGGAAGACGAGTTGAAATGTGTGAAAGATTTGAGGAGAAGAATGGATCTGCCTAAAAAGGGTAGCTGGACTTTTTCCACTTGTTAGTTGTTTCTACCGCAGTGGTCTCAAAGTCCTGTCTGATATAAGACAGAGCCAAGTGGTGAAATATGATACTGGCTGGGGATGAGAATTGGCAGTTGTCCTGAGTGCACAAATAGTTTCTTCCCTCCCAAGCATATTTTACAGCCAAGTGAACAGAAAACAGTTCAGCAGTCTACTTGCTGGAGACCTGCAGCAGAAAAATGATCTTGTAAAAAGTTGGACTCTTTATAGCTTTTATTAAAAGTTTTCAGAAGAACAGAATGCAAACTAGGTTTATTTTTCTGTCTCTCATTTTGTCTCTGATCCCCAAGTGTAAGGCCGATTCCAGATGTATTCCTAAGTCTATCTGTGAGAAGGAGGGGCTGGGCTTCCCCAGGTTCGATCGGTCACATGTTTTTCACTTTGGATCACAGTGAGCTAGAAAAGGAAGTTGATGGGAAGACTTGAGTCCAAGCCTTCCCATTGAATGGTCAAGCAAATGGGCACAGTTTGTCCCCTGGCCCAACTCTGCTTCACATAAATTTTATCTAGTACACACAGAACAGGCAAGCAGCTGGTGGTTTTGTAATTCCAGTCATTACTGTCTAATATAACAGGCCACTATTGCATGAGGTTTGACCTGAGGTAGCTGCTCTATATATAGCCAGCCTTTCTGGCAGCTGCAAACACCTGGAGGAACAGGCAGGCCCCCAACAGAAAAAGTATTAGCTGTTAATAGTATGCCTATTGAAAAATCATGTACTATCAGAGCTTATTTTTTGTTATGTGTAATTAAAAACAACCCACAGGATCCATTGGCTTGTGGTTGGGTTATGTTTAGAAAAATGCACTTTATGTTGTTGTCGTCTACTGTAAGGACTGGGGATGATGTCACTAGTTTGAGTAAGACCATAAGGGAAGCAGTTAGTGTAATTACCAACAATTTTCTTTGATCTCTAATGAACACAGCTTAAACCTCTTAGTGGCCTTTGGTTTCTGCACTGATGAACCAAGCTCTCAGTCATGTGATTCTGTTCAATTAGGGACTGGTTTGTGTGCTTGATAGTTCCTTCTGACATAAGGGGGTTTATGAGTGTGTAAAAAGAACATCAACATTTACAAAGTGGTGCTTCCAAAAAAGAAACTACAAATGGCTTATAAACATGTAAAAGGTACTTACCTTCTCTTGTAAAAAGAGGAAACGATTTTAAGATCTCATTGAAATCATATATATATTTTTTTACCTGACAGATTGACAAAAATCCAAAAAGCTAGAAAAACACTGTTGACGAGCAAGTGAGGAAATAGACACTCTCATACATTCTTGGTGGGGAGCATTCGTTAAGTGTACAAATTTTATTGAGAGAAGTTATCTATTAAAACCACAAATACATACCTTGTGACTCGGCAGTATTACTTCTAGGAATTTATCCTATGGATGCATTATGCTGTGTGTGTAAGCTTGTTTGTGGAAGAATTAAAGCTTGGCAAAAAAAATTGGACTGATTATATAAATAATGATGTAACACAGCTGTAAAAAACAATGAGGATGTTCATTATGTACTGACATACAAATATCTTCATGATATAGTGTTGAGGGAATAAAAGCAAAGAGCAGTGTTTAATATGTTACCCATTGTGTAAAGAGGGGCAAAATAAGAATATATATATGATTTGCTTATATGTGCATAAGGAAGTTCTGAAAGGATTTTAAGAAAGTCATATGAACAATTAATTATGTGTATATGTGTGTGTAGGAAAGGAGATAAGATGGCTATTTTTCACTATGAAACATTAAAACGTGTGCATGTACTTTTTCAAAAAATTAATTGGAATGTTTTTAAAAATGGAGCTTCTTTGAATTTCAGTCACAGTTAGAGAATTCCTTACTCATACTTTCTGCCCTTGTGGGTAAGAGGAAAAAGTTTCCTCATATTGAAGCTGATGGTGATAATGTTTGTTACTTTCTATGTGGGTACCTTGAGAAGAAAGTGGCGTACATGTTTGTTGGTCCTGGTTTGTTTCCTGTTCTTCATCCATAATCAGTGGCTCTGAAGATTTACATACCAGTAGCCTTAGGTTCTATAACAAACCCTAAGAAACTGGGTTTTTCCTTTAGTTTGACAATTAGGTTGATATGCTTTGGACAGGACTGAATTTTTTTACCTTTTCTCTGTACTTGCAGGAACCTACAAGCAGCAATTGGCGCCTATTATGACTTTGAGAGCCCAAACATCAGTGTACCCTCTATGTCCTTTGTTGAAGATGTCACCATAGGAGAAGGGGAGTCGATACCTCCTGATACTCAGTTTATAAAAACATGGCGGATCCAGAATTCTGGTAAATGTATAATGGGCAGTTCTCTTTGTCCAGTTTTCTTTTTTTTAGTAGTTAAAAGAAATGTTTTAGTTTAAGTTATGTGATTGTATAAGTCTGAGATTTTTCCTGTACATGATGTAGCATTTCTTGTACCGGTATGATGACCAGACATCAATGAAATATCCCATGCTCTACGTTAAGAAGAATTTAGTTCTAGATGACATCTAAACACAATTCAGTATGCATTTAATACCAGGAACTGGGCCTGTGTGTAGTGGTGGTATTGTCCCCACCAGGGCAGTTCTACTCCATCATTTTAAGTCTGCTCTAATTAATCTTCTAGTTATTTCCAGCAGGCTAGAGGTGGTACAGCCATGAACAGAACAAGGTAGTTAGAAAGAACTATGAGCATCTGCTCTTTTGAAAGCTCATTTCTTTACAACCACAGGATGATTCTATCTGAAATTTCATTGAGATATCTATCAAGACATTAATACCACTTTGAAAAATAGAGTAAGAAGTGTGGGGATTTACTCAGAATGGGGAAAATGGAAAGATTTTTTAAAGCACTGTTTTGGTATACTGCTGACTTAAAAATTAAAAATAAGCTTAACCATATATCTTTGAAAATAGTACCTGAACATGTGTCTGGTAATTGTTAATTATTATTTTTTAATTGTTAACTTCTTTTCTAATAACTTTTTAAATGAGTGAGTTTAGTATTTCTTGTTCCACCCAATAACAATTTACGCTGACTGGTTGAGAATGCTTTGACATCCTTTTTATGAATGAGGACTTACAGAGAAATTCTGAGAGATGGAAAAGTAGGCAAAAGGATATTTAGCTAGAAATATGTGACTATGGGAGAACCCTATATAGCAAGGTAATTTGATGTGAGATGATATAAAACTATGGGGGCTCACACAAACCTATAAAAGTGACCTTTCATTGACTGTTTACTTTTTACTTCTTTATACTTCTTTGGCTAAGCTAGATTTGTATATAATAACTAATGTACCAAATCGTTATTTTTAGTTTTTCTGGCTTATTTAGAAGTAACTCCCTTGGGTGCAGGTTTAGTGTGTCACTGAGCAAACACACATAATTTGGATTAACCTAATGTTTTAGATGACTGGGGACATCTGTGGCTTTATAAAATTTTCATTAGCTTCTTTTTCCTTTTGGTTATAACAGTGTGGTGCTTTGTTTGAGAGGTACATGGTAATATGGGAAAATAACTATATAATCTGTTTTTCTTGAAATTCTTACTTGTTCCAAGTTTGATTATTTTTACTTTGCCTGATTCTTTCTTACCCTTCTTAATGTTGCCTGCTTTTAAAAATAATGAAAAGTCTCTTTAGTTTAGCTTCTATTCATCATGTTTCTCTATATTCCTAAAACTTGCTATTACTAATGAAAAATGTTTTTGAAACTTATACATGAATTTTTTAAACGAGTGACATTTGTTTAGAAAGTATGAGATATTCAAAAGTTTTACTCATTTTTTTTAAAAATTAAGATCTTGTTTACTTATAGTGAAAACACCAAAAATGGCCTTCTGCGAGTTCTTTGTAGTGTTTTTAAATATTGAAAGTTGTTAGAATAATGTTAAAATATTTTCAGTACTATTTTGTTGCAGAATAATCATTTTATATTTCAGAAAACCTTTTGATATATCTACTCACTAGACAGTTACTTGGGTTAATAGGGGGTTTGGGGGGGCTTTGATATAAAATGGCTAGAATGTAAATTCAGAACCCCAAAGAGCCTGCTTTTCATCTTGACTTGGAGAAAATCTGTATTGCTGGTCCTGTTTTTAATTCCTGTTTTTGCATAGTAACTACAGTTTCAGTTAGCCTCTGGATCTGCAGCCTTTTCTTTCTATAAAAGAGTGTTCTTGTTCCTGAATACCTCTCAAAAAGTTGGGTAACAATTGCTAGAGATTTTACCTTTCAGAGTACTTTGAACAAATCGTTTTTTTATTCTGGCAATTTGTCCAACCTGTCATAAAACAGTTTTGTGTCTATAAACTAAATCCTTTCTATCTGATTAAGGAGAGACTGGCCTGCTATAACTAAGTAACAGATATGTTTTTAAGGGGAGAGAGTGAAAGCGGGCATGTGCACTGGTTCTTTGACATCGTAATCTGGCCTGAATTCTTTTTGGAAATAGAGTAGTAACACAGAAGTAGTGCTGGCCATTGCTATTTCTCCTCTGGCTCTCCTACTCTCATTCATAATCTTCTCTAAGAGATAAGTGCTCACCGAAAGAGTTTCATAAATAATTTTCATGTTGCATCTCTGCTGTCATGTTTTAGGTATGCCAGGCATTCAACTATACAACAGATGAGATTGATAGGAACTGCACATAGCTGTCCCAACAGCTTCCCTAAAGAAGATAAATTCACACATTGTTTAAAGTTAAACTCTAAATACTGTTTAAACCCTGAGATTTAGAACACGGAATAACAAAAGTGAGACATTTAATCACATGGATGCAGAATCCCAGGATCCAAACTTTTGACACTATTTAAGTGTTAAAAGCTTGGGAACTTGAGCAGGAAACCTTACATTAGAGTCGAATATGAAAATTTGAAACCGTCCCTAAAGATGAAAGTAGACAATATTCTTTACCAACACTTACACCTTCTCAGTTGTTACAACCGTGCACTGTTGTCCAAGTGTAGTGAATGTTAAGTTGAGCATGTAATGATAACTCTGGTGTTTCTCTGACTTTGGTAAAGTAGTTATGATCATCATATTGAGAGAGTGTGTTTAGAGTCATCTTTATTTTTTAAACTACAGAGAAGTGAGTATAAAACAAGGTTAGGAGAAGAACTTGAGAAAGAAAGAACAACTATTCCTCCATTTTTCCTTCAGCTTTTTAAAATAGTTAATTTTCTACTTTTCTCTTTGGTATGTTAACAGAGAAGACATGTCTTCATTCAACAAATTTTATTATGTTCTAGTCACTTTATCAGGTACAGGGAGAAAATGGTGGCAAAATCAATGAAGGTCCCTGTTTTTATGCAGCTTAATTTGAAACACAGTCTCCAAATTTATAGGGGTTAAAAGAATAGGGGATCTTTACTGAGGTTTGTCTTCTGCATTGCTCTTTGGATGTTCCTTACTATCTCCAAACTATTTCTATAATCAAATACTATTTCTATAATTACTAAAAAGTCCCAGGCTTTCTAGAACTATTGGACTTCTATTTCATTTTTGACATGTTATCATCTCAAAATTGCCATATGATAGAGTTTTTTGTTTGTTTTGTTTTTTTATTTTTAAAAATAAAATTATATTCCATTATAACTGGAGAATCACAGCCTTAATTATATGCATGCTTGTGATACTTAAGTTGGAAAGTCAGAAAACAGATTAGTCTTTCTTCTAGATATATTTATCCCCCATTAAGCCAGTTTGTAACTGAGACTTAATTTGAAGCCTGTTGTATTATACTTCTCAAATCCTGATTTCAGGTATACTTAGCCAGGTGGTCCAAACAGCTCACCAGTATTTCTTTTCTTTCCATACAAAGAATCAGTGTCTTTGACCTTTTCAGAATTACGTGACCTAACACTTGGGGCTGTAAGAACTGTATGTCATAATGAATTATTGGTAACTCTGAGAAGGCAGATAGATGATGCTTCTTCACTTCGTAGCAAATTAACACTTCAAAATTGATGGTGGGTAGCTATTCCAATTTTTTTTTCAAGAGGCTAAGTAAGTACCACATTAATAGGGTATCTAGCATACTAAAAAGATTAGGACTGTAGCTGCATAATTTAACATTAATCACGTTTTACCAACTTAGTCTCCTTGGAATATAGTAGGACTCCCTCTTTTGCATAGCTGAGAGATCCATTCATCTCAACTGCTTCTGGTTGTCTGTTTATGACAGCCAAGTATCTCACGTACCCAGACACTCTAGGTTTTCCTAATTTTTTTCAAGGTTCAAAAACAGACACATTCTTGGATTTTCATATAAACAGACATTGTCTTGTTACAGATGTGTGTGTGTGTGTTGACAAGTAATTGTGAATTCAGCCCTATAACATTGGTACATTGGTTTAATTTTCCTCTTGGATCTTGGTCTTTAAAGAGAACAACATTCCAAGATCCTCTTGTCACTGCTGCTACTCTTGACATAAGACAGATATGCGTTTGCCGGGCTATAGGCCCTAGAAAAACAGAATTTGCTAGTATTGCAAGTGTATCATCCATAAACTTTCTATTAGCAGCAGTTGCTCTCTGTAGTGTTGAAAGGACACTTTGCTAGCGGGGTTTTTTTTTTTTTTTTAAAGAGTGTATGAGAAAACATACTGGCCACCGTTTCATCTGCAACCCCTTAAGATCCAAGAGGGTGCTGTTCATTATGGGGCTGAGATCTCACCAGTAGAGCACTGTCTGTTTTTCTCTCTGGTTCTCTTTTCCACAGTGAGCCATTATGTATATCAAAACCAGCTTGGCCCTTCTAGAACAAGGTATTGAGGCATCCTAGAATACTAGGATGGTAAATTTGGAAGTTAAATTTCAAGCATGCTGTGTCCTGAGAGTCCTGATGACATGTCCAGCTTTTCCTAGTGGTTTATTTTTATAATGAATGTATAAAGCCCCAAAGAAATATACAGGTTTTTGTCTATATTACAACATATATTAGAGAGGCTTCACAGGAAAGATCACATCTAGTTACTATATGACTAGTCAGAGCAAGTCAATATATGGATTTCTCATTTACATGAAAATAGGTATGCAGGAGAAATACCAAATAAGATCTTTGCCACTTCCAAAGGAGGAAAGACATTCCTGCCAAAGCCATTTCTCTGTATTGACATTCCTATCTTTTCTATAAGCACCTCTGGCTGGCGTCATCACCTTTGAGACCACAGTTCATTATGTTTTTATCAGGGGAGCTCAACACAGTGTTCATATTTTCCCAACTACTGTATGAACCTGAAAATGAAACTTTCACTTGACTCCTCTGTCTTAATATTTGCAAGTCTCTTGAGCCTTGGTCTT